AGCAAGCAGCCGTGGACAGGAAAGAAGGGAGCTGAAGAGCTTTCCAGCATCAAGTGCTCTGGGGTCGGCAGAAAGGTTTTGAACACGACAGTGCTGGCTGAACTGCACAATGAAATCTGCTGTCCATTTGCACCAAGGCAGGACCCGGAACACTCCCTGCACGGTGTCGGCTGTCTGGTTTAATGTGACTCAACAGGATTTTATGTAAAAACCTGGTCATCAATCGGGCTGCCTCAGAACGTGGCTTTGTTGTCACTGCTCCAGACCCTGGCCTGGTGGCTGCGATATTAAAGAAGGTGGTGTCTTTATGTGATGCCACTGCAGATCCTTGGAAAACTAACTACAGAATGCACTCACGTAAGGGAGGAGCTTCCCCAGCTCCTAAATGCCGATCTTTTCCTGTGGACCCCAAAGGATGTCTATTCTGGCCACTCCGTGGGAAGCCATGGAGCTCGGACTGTGCTTTGAAGAACCCAAGAAAATACAAATCTGTGTCAGCATTCCCTCCAATGCGACCCAGAGCTCTGTCCTTGGGGCAAAGGCCTCTAGTGAATACCAGGGAACGGAGGGGAGTCCATGGAAAGCTATGATGCCACCAGTCTGTGAAGGCTGCCCAGGGTCCAGGTGCACATACAAACTGATCATGGAAAGATGACCAGCTTCCTTCGGATGGACAGTTCCTACCTGAGACTGCACAGCTGCCTGGACAGAAAAGAAAGCCCCTGCTGTTCTGTTTACAAGAGGGTTATGCTCATGGCTCCCGCGTCATTGTAACCTTCTTTACTGATCACATCAGACGTCATCCAAAATGCCTGAGTGCTTGAAAACCTTCAGATAAGAGAATCCCTTGGATTATAAAAACTGTAGGGGAAAAGGTTTCAAAACACTGTATTTCATAATACTAAAAATGCTTTCTTCTATAGTTGAGTCACCTTCTGAAGAAATATATGAAACCTGAAAAAAAAAAGAAAGAAAAGAAAAAGGAGATGATGATAGAACCAGCGGCTGCGTCGTCACTTGAAGGCAGAGGGAGAGAAAATGCTGGTGGCCGTTAGAACTGGAAAAGGCAAGGAACGATTCACCCTGAGTCCCCAGAAGGAACGCAGCCCTGCCAACACCTTGACTTTTAACCTTTGAAACTGTGAGGTGATAAATGTGTACTGTTTTCAGCCAGGGAGTTGGTGGTGATTTGTTACAGCAATAATAGGAAACAATACACGCCCTGACTATACCAAGAGCACCTGGGCAGAGGGGCGATGAGTTGTGGTCACTACTTCATTGAAAATGACTGAAAAGAAGTAGGAACATGAGAGGCAGGAAGAGCAAGGAAAGGAACAGAGTTAACAGTTGTTAATTTATTTACTAACTTTTTTTTACACTTATTACCTTCTGGGCATTGTTCTGAGAACTCCTTCAAGGAAGTTATTATCCCCACTTTACAGAGGAGAGGAATAAAGCAAGAAATTAAGAAACAGCTGGTAAACAAGGGGCCAGGAACTGAGTGCAGGAATTCTGCTCCAGGGCCCTGCTGTTAAATGTAAGAAGAAAAAATTTATACACCGAGGAGTTTGCAGGAATTTGGACATTTGCATGAACCCAGGAGACTCAACAGTGTTTAAGGCAGGCTGGCTTTATTAAGGGAATGTGCTGTATTCGATGTGCCATGCTCTGTGGGATCCCGTTTCCTGCGTAGCCTGATTCACATCTGGAGTCAAATCCCTCGGCATGATGCAGACATGAGGCAGACGGGAGTTTAAAGGCTGTGGAATGCTGCCCTGCAGGCTACCTTCCTGTGCATCCAGCACACCTCCCACCCCATCCGGTGGAGGCCCAGAGAGGCCCCTGCACCAGGAGAGAAGCCCAGCACCTGTCCAAAGACCATGGTTCCTTCTGGCCAGGAACGCTGGTGGGATGAGGGGGTGACAGGCTGGAGGCAGCACTAAACTCCAGGAGCACTTCCGTCCTGATTCCCAGATCCCTCGGCAAGGCAGTGGGTTAAACAGATGGAAAGTCCCCCATTCATATTTTCAATGAATTTGAAAAGAAAAACTTTACATTAAGAGGGGAAACTTGGTATCAGCAGAGATGGCTTTCACATGCAAAAACACTGATGCCCAGCAACACCCAATTAGCGATTAGAAGACCAACTAAGGACTTTCACTCAGAATTCTTTTTCTAAGAATAGTGTGATGATACCATGTTATTGTTGTTTTAATTAAAAGACATGGAGGAAGAACAGAAGGATCCAATGTAAGTTTGATAGAAAGCCAGATGGGAAGAAGAAAGCAATGGGAGAAACTTAACCTGAGGTAAAGCAATGGATTTAAAGACTTAAAGGGCATCACCAATTACCAGGCAAAGCTAATGAAGAGGAATTCGCACTCCGACTGAATTCCAAGCACCAGGCTGACTTAGAGCAGATGTTCTCCGACCAGAGGCGAGGGTGAGGGGTCCTGACAATCTGGTGACGGTTTTGGAGGCAGGCCCAGGGATGCCTACATCCTGCCTGGGGCTCAACCCTCCTCTCCACGGGCTCCAGACCGGAGGTGCTGCCCGTGAACAAATCCCACCGGACGCTTCACGCTGGAAGGAGCACCTCACTGACAGCCAGCCAGGGCCTCCCGCCAGCGCTGAGCAGAATGCAGGGAGGACCAAGACCTTCAAGAGGCCTAGAAAAGAAACTTTCTCTATTGTACTCACAGCAACTTCTGACTCCAAGTGTGTGGGTTTTCCCTGCACTGACCGATTCCCCAGCTCTCTGGACACCAACTGGGTGTCCTCCAGTCCATTCTGACCGCCCGAGTCACGGCAGGGGAAGGAGGCAGTCCCACAGAATCCCCCACCTCAGGTGCTGGTCCCAATGCCAGGCTGTCATCTGTACTTCTGGCCAACCAGCTATAAATCTGGTGTGGGGCAGGGGGGGGGGGGGGGGGGCGGTGGATAGAAAGTGGGAGGGCCAGGAGAGCCCCCCTGCCTCAGGTTTGATAATTTGTTATAATGGCTCACAGAACCCAGAAAACAGTTTGCTTACTAGATTATGGGTTAAGGAAACAACTCAGGAACAGCCAGATGGAAAAGGGTGCACAGGGCAAGGTGTGGGGACAGCATGGCGCGTCCATGCTCTCCGCGTGCGCCACCCTCCCAGCCTCTGGGCAACCTGAAAGCTCTCCAAATCCCGCTGTTCATCACTTTTATGAAAGTGACATCACATAGGGATGTTCGATCAAATCACTGACCACAGATGGTTAAACTCAATATCCAAGTCCCCCGCCCCTTCCACCAGAGGCCAGGGATGGGGCGGAGGATTCCAACTCTCTAACCACTTGGTTGGTTCCTCTGGCAACCAGCCTCATTCTTCAAGAGCATAAACTCAAGTATGGTTGACAGAGGCTCACTGTGAGTAACAAAACACTCCTCTTACCCGTCACTCAAATGCCCAGGGTTTTAGGAGCTCTGTGCCAGGAACTGGGGACCAAATATATATTTCACATAAATCATCACAAGGCCTCTAACGCTCACCCTCCACTCCGCAGGGCAAGCAGCGACCTCGCCTCCCCTCCCGCCCAGCCACGGGCACAAAGGCCACGAGGTCCTGGGTAAACAGGCCCTGAGGGTGGCGGCAAGTAGTGGAGGGGGGTGAGTCAGGCCTGGTGCGGACCTGAGTCAGCCGGTCTCCCTGAGAGTGAACTTGTTAAGGAAGAAAATACCGGGTGAGTGTTTATTTGCTTTGAGGATATCAGGATGCCTTCTTCAGGGCAAAATTCATAAAGGAAATGAAAGACTGCCGGGAAAAGGAAGAAAAAAGATTCTCCCCTGAAGCCTCCCCGTGGCTGATGGGAGGAGAGAGGGGAGGTACACAGGTCTGACCCTCGGCCTTAATTTGGGGAAACGATGGAGGGCCAGCGAGCTCAAGCTCCCACGGGACCGCTACGGGGCAACAGCATCCACTCCCAGCCTCGCCGCCACCTTCACCGTGGAGGTACTCTCAGGGCACCCCTCAACTTTGTGCACTCTAAGCTCGGTACCAGCGCCCATTTCCCTGGAAGCCACCGGGACAGTCTGTTATAACCTCAATACGTATGTGTAGCATGCTCACTTAATTATTTCACTAATCTTAAAATAATACTTATTGTAATTTAGTCTTACTTCGTTTTAATTAGTCTTATTTTTTACAATCAAAGGGCACAATCAACTGCCTATAAGGCCAGACAGATAAGTAAATGTCCATGAAAGGAAAGAACTACAGGGACTGGTGGGAAATGTGCCGTGAGAGCTCAGGCCCTGTCTAAACATGCTTACCAAGACACCAGAAGGCAAACGAAGTGGACCAACCTGTGTCCCCTGGACTCACTGCAGAGAGGTTTCCTCAGTACGCACACAATTTTACACTTAGCTGTGCTCATTCACCTCTGCAGCAAACCTCTCATCCCGGGACAGGACCCCGACAAGCACGGCCGGCGGCAGTCTGCGCTCGCCAGGATAGCATATCACCTCGGTGTCACACAAACACCTCAGAAGTCTGAGGAGAAACTTCTTTGGAAAATATGGTCGCTGACCATTTCCCCTAAATATGAAATAAGACAGAAACCCCGAGGTCGGCTCACAGTCTGCATTCTTCTCATGCCAGGGCAAAGGCGAGACCTGCATTTTAGTTACTGTTTCCCTTTGTTTCCCGGCGCAGCTCGTGCATCCTTATTTGGAAGTTTTCTTTTCTGGCCTACAAAGGGGAAAAAGACCATCCTCTGTACAAATTCAAATGCTTTCTCGGCCAGCCTTCCGGAGCGGCCGACAGAATCCTATTCTCTGAAAGGTGGACAGGACGTCAGAGATGCAGCTCAAGTCCTTTGCCATCATGAAGACCCATCAAGGTCAAAAAAGGAGAAATGAACCTCGAATGTCTGCCTCTGGACCCAGTTTTGTCTAATATTCCAACTGTCACCGAGGGAAAATAGAATGTGTTTGTTTCATTTACTCTACTTATAATTGAGCCTCACCAGAACCTCTCTATGTATTTGGTCCCCTTCGTTACACACACTCTCATTTCTAAAACACTCACATCTGACTTACAGCCTGTGGGGGTAGAGACTAAACTTTCTCAAGGGGCGACAGTAACAGTAACATTCAGTAACATTCGGAAGCCTGCCTATGAGTCCCAGCCCACCTTGCTTTCCCCCACTTCCTCTGTCCTCTCCACATTCCTCCTTCCCCTCACACATCCCTATTTGGCCCCCTCATGCCCCCTCATGTGAAAGAAACCTGAATTTCTCTAATTCTCATCAACTCGGGCTCTGCCCAACCAAGCCCTGGGGGTTATTCATCAGCCCCTGCAAACACAGGATCTTGCCCCGGGGGAGGAGGGGGAGCCTACCGCTGGGGAAAAGGTCTACCTGGGGGGGTGACGTCTGAGCTGCGGAGGCCTGAAAGGATCAGTGGGATGGACGTATAATGTATCTTTCAAAGGCAGCACTTTTTAAAAAAAAATTTTATTGATTTCAGAGACTGCGTGCCCCCCACTGGGGATCGAGCCCACAACCCAGGGACGTGCCCCCACCGGAATCGAACCATAACCTCCTGGTTCATAGGTCGACACCCAACCACTGAGGCAGGCCAGCGGGGCAAGGGCAGCACTTTTAAAAGTAATAATAATAGGCGTTAATTGGCCCCAATTGATGGGGCATCCCGGACAAAATGGTTTTATGTTCGAGCTATAGAGGAGTCAGCTGTCAGGTTCTGTGCCGGGCGCATCCCTGCGAAGGGCCAGGAGGAGGAGCGTGGTGTGGTTCAGACACAGAGGCCTGAGCACCTCCAGGGAGCGCTGAGGCAGGAACCACGCGTCAGGGCACAAGTGTACAGCCGCTCAGCTACCTGAGATGCTGTCACTAACAGGAACAAGAGGTCTCCAGAGAAGCTAAAAACTTCACACCCTTTCATTATTAGAAGCACTTCTGGCTTACACTCAATTCTGGCAGCTTTAGTTACTGCTTTCTAGGCTCAGGGGAGCAGATTAGAGGCAGCAGGTGACATAGAAAGCAGCCCAGAATCTGACAAGCATATGACCCTGGTGTGGACTGACCACAGCCATCAGAAGCCCCAGACACCCCAGAGTCAAGGCTGGTGACAGAACTGACAGTGATAGTGATGGTTTGAGCAATGAAAAAAATAGTAAATAAAACGGCCATGTTTGTAATACTTTAAGAACTCTTTGTATCTGAAATAGTTAGGAGGCTCTGGATACCAGAATTTCTTATAAAGGTCAAATGTACAGTTTACAGTAATATGCAATCACTGATCCAATTACTGTTACTTCTTGATTTTTATTCTTCCTTCTTAATCACAATTACTGACTGAAAACCCTACCAAGGCATAATGCACAAAAGCAGAATGTCATAAAGGTTAGGATGCCAGGAAGACTTCATACAAACACATGTGCAAACAAAACACATACACGCAGCCCCTCCCAACCGGCCCCGTTAACCTGCAGAGACGGTTTGACACATCTTTGGTCCCATCTGCAAGCATATGATTCCATGTAACGTTGGCACAATGTACTGTATTCAGACTGAAGGGAGAGCAGAAGAGACTTAGATAAAACTACACATTATTTTCATAACAGTTCCATGACCACTATGAATAGGTTCTTTGTTTATCTGTTGATAAATCAGAAGGTTAGACTGCTGATAATTTACCCTTCCAAGGTTTTGTGTTGTTTTTTTTAATTTGGCTACTGGTGCTAGAGAGAAAAGCAAGAGCAATCAGAGGAAGGAGATGAATTCTTTGGCAGACAAAACAAAGGGGATTTTCAAGGGCTTTGGGGGTTGTTGGCACTAGTGTTAGATATAGTTTCAGGTCAAAACTTATGACTACTTTTTATGAAAGTTTTATCATAATTCCTAATCTAACCCTTATCCATAATTAAGTTTAATTTGGAACATGTGCCTGGAAATTAGGGGAAGAATAGAGTGAAGAAGAAAATACCAATTTTTCTGGGGTGAAGACACGCTGACTGCTTGGGTCTGGCTGCAGGACTATTCCGTCCAAGTGCTTTGTCATGGAATGGCAAAGTCTTTCAAAGGATATACTGAAACCTCTAAAATTCTCAATGTGTTCTGCTCCTTCTAGAGCAAGGGTTAAAAAATAAGCAGAGGCAGGGGATGGTGGTACGAGCTGTGAGAGACACAGGGACATGCGACGGTGGGCTGGTTCAGTCCCCGAAGGGCTGAAAGGAGACAGTGAGTGGTCAAGTTCCCTGTGCCAACCCAGGGGGAGTCATTGGCCCAGGATATCTGGGTTAGATTTGTTGTGAGATGGAATGCAAAAAACTCGGTGAAAGAAGCTTTTCCAAAGTTCATAACAAATGATTTTTTTTAATTTAAAATTTTAAATATTTGGCCAACTACACTGATTTTAAAATGTCAAACCTAATTTCTGCTGAGAATTCAAAACTTTCCTGGAAATACAAGGAACACCATCAGCTTACTAAAACCCTCCTTTCTGCTAGGGCCTCTGCAGAGTGTTAGGAGCCATGGAGATGAGTAAGACCAATAAAGATTCTCAAGTGTTCTTACTCAGCTGGAGAAGAGCCAACTCTGATTCAATGTGCAAGCAGAGGGGGTGCCGGGGGCGTGATGGCTGGGGGAAGGTAGCCGACAATGAGCGGAGAGCATGGCAAGGGTGAAGACGCGCTGACTGCTTGGGTCTGGCTGCAGGACTATTCCGTCCAAGCGCTTTGTCATGGAATGGCAAAGTCTTTCAAAGGATATACTGAAACCTCTAAAATTCTCAATGTGTTCTGCTGCTTCTATGGCTCTACAATATGAGCTGGTCTCATCTGACAGGAGCCATATATAAACATTTTTTAAAGTATTTTATAAAAGAATTCAACAGCCTAAAATATCATACCTAACACACATTCAACAGGAAAAATCCCAGTCTCCTCCATTCCCAAAACACTCCTCTGAATTAGAAAGTTTAAAAGTTTAAAAATATTAAGTCACACTCCGAACAGCAATCAAGTCTCAACTACAACAGGCGGGCACATACAACCCACTCAACGGACACAGTTGGAGCACCCACCTCAGGTGATCATGAGCCCACAGGATACCTACTGCACAAGGCCACTCCCCCCAGACAGGGAGATGTAACAGCTCTACCTAATGCATAGAAACAAACACAGGGAGGCAGCCAAAATGGGGAGACAAAGAAACATCCCCCAAATGAAAAAATTCACTGCTTAAACACACACATACAAATTTAAGGCAAAGAGTAAGAAGCTAGTAGTGAGCTTTTCCAGAGTCGGGGCCACACAGGGAGGATCTCTTGTGCAGGCTCGCCCTGGGTCGTCTGCAGGCACCCCAAGGGTCTTCTGCAGTCCCTGCAGGTAGGCCGCGGCAGAAGACGGCCGCAGCCAGGCCTATGCACACGGGCCCAGCCCCATCAAGGTGAAGGGCAGCCCCTGGAGGTGCCCCAGTGCACACACTGCAATACAAGCTCCTTCTGGGGAAGGAGCAATTTACCAGCGAGGTCATCTCCGTCCCCGTGGAGGTGGTGGCGGTCCATCTCCGAAGCCCAGGGGCTCACTAACAGAGATATGTGGATGAGGCTTCCAAGAAGGAGCTCAAAGACATCCTTATCCAGTGTGACCAGACCCTGCTGGTAGCTGATTTCCGTCACTGTGAACGCAAAAAGCTGGGGCGGAAGGGGGGGCAGGGGCGGGGGGCTGGTGGCTGTGCTCACTACCAGAAATCCTACAGATAAGCCTATCTGGGTTCACCTTTGTAACAAACAATGGTTGTGGGGAAAAAATAAAAGAAGAAGCTAGCAGTGATAGCGGGGGAAATCTTCTAAGCTCACCTGCTAAGGCCTCTATAGAATACTGGCCACCTCTGTGTGAATATAAAAAGGCAAATGTGCCAAATGGCACCCTCTCCTCTGGATGCTACAGCCTCACCTGGGCCCACTCATCCCTTTCCCAGATGCCTTTAAACAGTGCACAACCTGCACAACTGCACCCAGCAGCCTCTCTGACAAGGCAAACACTGACAACCTGGTTGGCTGCTGAAGGACTGTTAACTGGGACCTTCTAAGTAAAAGATGTGTCATCCACCCAGTCCCTCTTTCATGCAAGGTTTCGTATCTTTCACTTGATCCGTTTCTCTTGTCCATTTTACAATACAGAGCCAGTCACAATGACCCAACACAGAGGATCGCAATCACCACCAAAGAGGAATCCTGCTGCTACCACAGCCAATACCAGGGCTAGAAAAGAGACGGAGGCTGGGAACTTGCCTTCTGCCTCAGGTGCGGCCAGAGGGGCTGAGGCGCTCCCACCGGGAAGAGATTGGGCAATTCCAACTCTTTTAAGCAAAAAGAGGGTGGGGGAGACTGAAGAGGAGGATTTTACCTCATTGACCCTTTAAATAGACCACCACCACCCCTGCCCAAGCAACTGAGGTCGTGGGGATGCCGCCATGAGGTGCGCCACCTGGATCTCTGTTCAAGAAAGAATGTGGCCTTCAGCTGCAGGGACTGCAGTTAGTGCCACCGGGACCCTAGGACTCCACCTGCCTTTGAGCTGAAGGCACATTCTTTCCGGGCAGCCACCAGCTGTGACTGACCACAGCAAGAGGACAGGACTGACCATTTCTGCCCGACCCGGGACTCCTCTAACAGGCAGCTTGCTCTGAGGATCTCCCAGCCCAAACCTGCTGCCTCCCCCTTTTCCTTTAAGTGTCGCATCTGCATCATGGTCTAAAGCAGCGGTCGCCAATCTCACGGACCACCGGTTGGCGACCGCTGGTCTAAAGCTTTCCTGGCCTAATTCTGCATCCCATCCCTTTTGTCTTTCTCGGGTATTACTCTCTAATCAACCTCATTCATTCCTAATTCTGTTTAAGGGTGTCTCAAAGAATAAAACTGACACAATACAGAAACTGTGTAAAAATCAATCTGACAGGAGCCATATATAAAAAATTTTTTAAGTATTTTATAAAAGAATTCAACAGCCT